TTAAGTGGGTTTTCCTTGTGGTAGCAAATAAGTTGGTAACCGTGTAACTTCTAAGTTACACATACAAGTTTACATAATTTGATTTGAGATGTTGAAATATATTAAGTGCTTTAGGATTGGACCCTTGGCAAGATCTAGTTTGTATTGAACATAACTAATAGAAGAAGTAAATGTTAATTACTTTAGATAATTGAATGTGTTGTCCAACTAAATTGTTTTGATTTGTAATCTGCTAAGTGAGGATTTGAACGCCTGCTGCATAAAGTCACGTGTATCGCTTGCTGAATGTACTCATCATTGTGGGTCTTTTTTGATAAAAATTGAACTTTTTGAGTGGTCATATTTTCTAGATCATGTTTTAGTTTAAGCAGGAGTTTCCAACTTTTCTTTCCCATTAAAAACAGACCGATTTTATCTAAAAATTGCTTGTGTCTTAACTCTGTGTTTGCTTTGACAGGAAAATGAAACAAACAAGACCAAGAATGGAGCTCCTGCACATGGAGATGTCAGTAATATAAAAGTTAAAGTCAGTAAAATTTCATTTGCTGCCCTTCACTTTAAACAATAACTATGGGATCACCTTCCTTTTCATGAATGAACCAGGCTGAATTGGCAGATCCTAATTCATGGACAAAAGTTGACAAGTCTGGATACATAGCGAAAGAGGTCTTGGGAGTCAAACCTTCAATTTCTAGAAAGAGGAAAAACAGCACCTTAGGTTCAAAGAGTAAACGCCTTAGAATTGAAAATGAAGACATGATTGAGTTGAAGATAACTTGGGAAGAAGCTCAAGGATTGCTTCGGCCTCCTCCAAACCAATTACCGAATATTGTGGTCATTGAAGGTTTTGAATTTGAGGAATATGAGGTATAACTTTCCAGAGCCATCTACTTATGATCCATGTATTTATTTTAGCAATTCAATTCCCTTGCGAACTGAAACTTACTGAATCCTTCTCTAAACAAACTTTTGGTGCTCATGACTGAATGGAATATTTCGGCTATGATGATATGAATACCAGCAACTGATTGTAGAACCTTATAGTTTACAATCAGTTGCCTATTTGCAAACATTGGAGCTACCCTCATCTCTGGTCAGCTATGGAATGCTAGGAGCTTACATTCTGTCTGGTCAATCAATTGGTTGATGCCATAGCAACTTTGCCAACAATATTTGTTGAAACCTTGGCAGTGAGTCATTTTCCCAAATTTGGAATGTTCATTAGGGAGATGATGTGGCCTCTCCAAGCATGTGTGTATGGTGGGAGAGCCAGTAAATTTGGGTTATGGAGCTTTGAGGTTTTCAATTTTTTTGTTACTAAATTTGTTAAAATAATAAAATGAAGCAAAATTCATTGGATTAATGCTATTTTCATACGGGAAAACGAACTTCCATGTAGTTAGAAGCATGCTTTCCAATTGAAAATAATAGACAAATAGAGGAAGGATGGTGAAAAATACAATCAGAAATTTTGTTAGAATAGATAAGAACTGCCGAGTTTTCAGAAATGCTACTATCTGTAGCCTTCAATTGACCAACCACCTTTGGGTATTAGAAGGAACTAAAATGTGCAACTGATATTTAACCAACATAAATTACGTTATAATAGACATAGTAACGTATGCAGGAGGAGAATTGGACATGCCTACTGCATCAAAGGAGAATAGTTGTGAAAGCTAGGAGCTCTTGGTTATATTGTAATTATGATCTAGTCCATATGGTAACCAATTGGGATCCTTTTTGTCACCCCTTGGTTTTTAGGAGATATCTCATTTTCATTCTTTTGTATTTGGCTTCTTAGACATCTAAAGAAAGAAAAAAACAGCTGGATGCTTTTTCTCCCCCCTAACTGTTCTAAATGCAAGTTTGAAATGCCCTTCGCTGCTGTTGGATCCAGAAGTTGTATTAATCTATGTCATGAGTTATAATGTCCGTGTCAATCAAGTTGGAGATTGGCCTTTTTCTTTGATCAACTGTTTGCTTTTGATTTACCACGAATGGCTGCATCCTTTACTGCAGTGCTGCAGTTATTTTCTTTCTGATACGACGTTCAAGGTTCAACCTGCAAAGTGGAGTGCAAGTTAGCTTGCAGATTAGAATATGTTCAATAGCGTGTCTATATGATGTCTATTCTAAGCTGCGTGTATTTGGGGTGATGGTAACATCAATATTCTGGCTTGTGTTATTACAGGATGCACCCGTACTTGGGAAACCTACAATTATGCCTCCTGATAATACATGGTAAACCTCTCTTTTTAGGTTTGCTGATGACTTTTTTGTTCCATTTTGTGCCATTGTCATGGTGTGCATTTTTCCTTTGGAACCCCTCTGTACCTGCAAGCTTTCTCATGCAAATAATTTTCCTGTTACAGTGTTACAAATGTTGAATGCCTCTCTCTTCCTTGTTTTTTTATCTATCCATCTCTGGTGATTTGTTCATTTGTTGTGTTATGGCCTTTGCCTACTTGGGGCTGGACTAGCTGATTTCTTATTTTGTTATTGAGTTCTCTCTGTTTTCTGAATTGATTAAACCTTGTGTATGTGTGTGTGTGTGTGTTTTATGTTTCTTTTTTAATTTTACAAGGATGCATGTATCTCATAGCGTTTTCTTCTTCCTATGGTCCTGTCATCTTACTATACATAGCATTGACAAGCCTGTAAGTAAAATATATTATCCTTGCTCCTTGCAAATACTGTGGTTTATTTTCAGTGAAAGGATTCAATGGATTCAATGTGAAGACTGTTTGAAGTGGCGAAAATTGCCAGCCAGTGCTCTTCTACCCTCAAAATGGATTTGTTCTGACAACTCATGGGACCCTGAGAGGTAGAATGGCCACGTTATTATCTTTTGATTTGTCAAGTCTTTTGTCATAAGGAGATTTAAGATAGTGAGCACAAAGTAGCATTTTCTTTTCAACTCACTGCAGATGTGTAGCATTGATAGACGAGCTTTCTTTGTGTTAGTGCTTCTAACAAAGTTATTTAGTATGAATTCTGTGAATTTTACTAATATAATTCTCTCTGCACTAGATCTTTTTGCTCCGCAGCTCAAGAGTTGTCAACAGAGAAGCTGGAAGAACTACTGTCGCCCAGTAATTCAGGTGAGAATTGTTCAAAACAAAAACTATTACATTGTTTGACCGTATCTTCATGCATAAATGAATCCCAACTGATTCGATTAGATGGGTCTCTTCTTTTTGTCCATTTCTGTTATTAATATTTTTGCTTCATATCCAGTGTTCCTAATCTGTTGTTTGCTATTTATAGCTGCTGTTCAGAAAATGAAGGCTGCTAAACTAGAACCAGATAATGTTGAAGCTCTGGAGGGACTTGACACACTTGCAAATTTAGCCATCTTAGAAGAGGGCGAGGCAAGCCAGGCACCTGGCCAGGCCACTACAAAGCACCCTCGCCATAGACCTGGATGCTCATGCATAGTATGCATTCAGCCTCCAAGTGGAAAGGGACCAAAGCATAAGCAGACATGTACCTGTAATGTGTGTCTGACAGTAAAGCGCCGTTTTCGAACATTAATGCTTCGACGTGAAAAAAAGCAATCTGAAAAGGAAGCAGAAACTACGCGCCAAAGGCATCAATTTCAGGATGAAATGTTTCTTGATAGATCAATGGACGATGAATCTCTTACTTTCTGTAACACAGGTCCAAGCAAGTTGATTGTGGAAGGGAAAATAACTGATGGTTCTGATGAGGATCCTAACAGAAACAAGCCATCCACTTCTCCTTTTAAAGGCCAAATCGATTTGAATATGCAGCCTGAGCGAGAGGAAGAGCTGTCACCAGGTTCTGATTCTGGAAGCATGATGAAAGTGCTTCAAGATACTGGGGATAGATTCCTTGAACAGCAAAGGTCGAACTCTGGTGGTGCTGGTAGTTCATCAAGCGATCCATTAGAACCTGGAGGGGAACGTGAACACAGGGTTGAGAATAGTAGCAATGTCATTGATCTCGGTAGCAGCAATTTAGATGCCGATAAGGATCATCCTGGAACGCTGTCGTTCAATGCTTCGGCATCCATGTCAGCCACAGGTTGAATCAAAACATTCTACTTACATCCATCCGGGTCCTTCATATATATTCTTCACATACACTGCATTGGTGGGTCAGTTTTTGTTGTACATTCATCCACGCTGATCTCAACCATTTGCAAATCTGTACATAAAGAGCGCTAGGAAGTGTTAACCAGGATTGAGAAACCTTTAGGTTCAGAAACATCCCCATTCTATCGTATTAGATGATAGCAGAATGCTGAGAAGGGAACTGAACTGAACTGATGAAGTCGCCCTCTACCATATCAACAATCTGACATTAGGAAACATAGAATGAAATACTTCATGCAGAATTATTAACAGCTGAATTTGATTCAGTACAGTGAAATGGAGACTGGTTTCCAAGTTTGGCTCTGATTCTATACGTTGATAATCCCCAATGTGTTTCTTCTCTTATCGTTCTGTTTTTTTTTTTTTTCCTTTCTGTTTTCTTTTATGTAAATCGTTAGAGATAGCAATTACTCCTAAAATTTTGGGAATGCTAAGTCGTTTTTTTCCCCCCAGAAATTTGTATTGGATAAATCCGTTGAATCTAGATTTATAATGTTTAAATGTTCAATGTTTTTAAACTTTCAATTTTATACTTAACAGGTTGATATCTATTTTCTAAATTAATAGAATTGTTATTGAAAATTTGAAATCTATCAAATATAAATTAAAAAAAAGTTAGATTTATTAGATATACATATACAAATTACAGAAAATTATTAAATGGGTTTATTAGTGCAAATTGAAGAAAGTTTCTTTTTCCTCCAAATTTCGTCCTTTTAATAAGTTCTCTCTTAGTTTATCACCAACAACCCTAGCGGTCAATTAATTTTCCTTAAAAATTATCTTTAAAAAAAAAACCCTAAAAAATGAGGTTAGATGGAATTTGTGTAATTTAATTTGGAGTTTGGGCCGGGCATAATTAATTTCAATCTCCTTTGAGACATGAAGCCCACCCAATTAGCCGCCGCGCTTGGTATTAGGTGTCCCCCGCCGCGCGAACCGAATTTAATGTGACGCAGAGAGTGTTACTGGGCGCTGCGATGGTGAAGAACGAAGCGGAGGAAGGGGGGGCGCTCACACAGCCTCATGCTCGACACATAAAGAAGAAAGCTCTAAAGAACAAAGCTCTTTCTGTTTCTTTCAATGAGAAAGACTTGAGGTTTTCCTTCAAACTCAGCACGAACTTGATTGATTGGGAATTTTATATGATATCGATTTCTATCTGTTTTCTTGTTGGGTTCTTTCATTTTTTTTTTTTGAATTTTTCTTAGGGACTATGTAACTGGATTTCACAAGAGGAAGAAGAAAAGGAGAAAGGAAGCGGAAAAGCAACAAGAGGAAGCTAAGCGGCGGAAGCGCATCGAAGAACGCAAAAAGGTTTGACATACGTTTCTATTTCTGAAAGGGAACTGCTGTAAACAGATAACTATTTTGTCTTTAGGATGATGACATTTTACAGTTTACAGGGAAAGAAATAGCTACAATGATAGTTCCGGAATTGAAATTTTTCTGTGAACAATACTACTTTTCTAGCTCAATGAACTTAGGATAGCGCATGAACAAATCTTTTCTGGTACATTGTTGATTTCCCAACAGAACTGCAAAAGCATTGGGATTCTCAGTGGCTAGAACGAGAACCAAACACAACACACCATTAGTCTCACGAAAGGTTAAATACTTCCTTCGGACTCCGGAGATGAGGCTGGTTGTGAGCTAAAGATCCCAATGTTGTTTTTCCACCTTGGATTTGTCCCAAGGTTATATGAATTTATTTCAATCCTTAGTTTCATAGGTCGAAATGGGTATTTAGGAGACTTGCACTTCTCTCTCTTTCACTGAGCTACGGGCAATGATTTTTGAACTTAGTTGTACGTTCATCAGGATAGAAAAGTTAGAAGGCATGGTTATGAATTTTTTATAAATTATAATTTGAACTTTCTTGGAGAACAATAAAAGAATGTATAAGTGCTTTCAATGCTACAAGAAAGAGTTCTAATACAAAAAAAATGGGACCTAGCTACACTGAGTCTTGAAGCGTTGAACCTAATAAGAATAGCCTCCCATAACTCTCTCAAATCTCTATAACACCTCTAAAAAGTCTACCATTCCTCTCAAGCCATATCCCTCAAAGAATGGCAACAAGACAAGTCTACCCAAGAATTTTGCTCTTCTGAAGTGAGGAAACAACAAAACCTCCCACATCAAACCTGCTATGAAAATCTTGGGATTGGGATTTGATCTAATAACCTTGTTGAAGAACAAGACCTTTAGATCTAAAGTATCCCCGAAACTCCAAAAACGATAAGGAATCAATCCAAGGGAAAGTTTTGGAATGAATTACCTTAGATGATCAATATTAAGAGTAAAGAAAACTCGTGATTTGAATCACTCTACAAGATAGCATCATGAAGTTTATGTGGCATGATTTCACTTTATTTTGTATCAAACCCTACACTCCCTGCATGTTTCTTCTATTAGGCTTGCACGCAAGGATGTACAGTTTATCTTTAGAAGTAGGACTATCAGATCATTCCCTCTGACAAAAATTTCAATAGCTTTAAGATTTTGACCATTCTACTGCCGCAACTAATACAGCTGGTGGTAAGGGAGGGTTAGGAAGGTGATTTAAGTCAGTTGTGAGAAATTGCCTCTAGCTTTGTTTTGTTGATTTTAATTGTGAACCTCCCTATAATGATCGTTCAACTAAAATGCTACTAATTAGTCGTCATTTATGCATTGTATTTTATGAATATTTTTATTGCATAAGTTGTGTAAAATATTATTGACAAGAGGAAACAAGAAAGAGAACAGCCTTTGGTGCATGTGTCCTTTTCTTCTATATCATCTGGGTTACATTTTCTGAAAGTCATAAATTATCTTGCAGAGAAAAATAGAAAAAGATCTGGTGCTACATGGCGGTGTTCTACCAGCTGACCGGCCAGTTGATGAGCAGAACGATGATCTCAAGGACGGGGATGAGGATGAGGAAGAGAAGCCATTGGCACCAATTTCTGGTATTTTTCTAGCAATTGCACATTAAGCTATCAAAAGCATGTGATAATCCGTTTGCACCAGTTTGCTTAGAACACAGTTGTGTTCAATTAATCAAAATGGCAGATAATAGTTACAAGTTCTTCCCTAATACAAGGGGCCGAAGAAGTGTCGATCTTAAAAAATCAGATCAGATATTATTCTTTTCACAGGGAAGCTAAAAGTCGGGTTATATATGAAAAATAACTTGGAAGTTGATAACATTGATAATGATATGCATTCATTGAGAAACTCTGAATCTTGGAAGAGGCTTCCAATAATCAAACACTGGAAGTGTCATCTATGTTATAGAGATACATGTCGTATTATTTTGATCCAAACGTGCTTTTGGTCCTTTCTGTAGAGACAACAATGTATGACAGTGGAAACATCAAAGTCACTGTGACAACAAGTGAGGTACGTCGTGACGAAGAAATTGATCCCATTGACAAGCCACAGGCATCAACATCCCAACTTCTTGCAAAGGATAAGAAGCACAGCCTGCCAATTACCAAAAAGAAGCCATTCAAGAAAGTTGCAAGAAAGAAGTCAAGGTCAAAGTCCCGTAGTAAAACAGACAAAAAGAAAGGAAGGAAAAAGAAATAGGTAATACTAAAAGCTTTTTGCTCACTCTTTTCTAAATCTGCAATGTAATGACTTATATGTTATCTCTTGAGAATAGGGTGTGATCTTGAGAATGGGCTGGTAGGGGGTTTGAGGGTTTTGTATTACTTTGTAAAAGGTTGGCCATTTTGCAAACTGAAAGTGCAATTTTCTTTTTTATGAGAAGCTGAAATGATTCTCTCATTATTCCAAGAAGACAAACATTAGATTGCAACTCATCTAAGAATCGAAAAATTCTCTCATTACATCATTGAATCTTATCAATGAGATATGAGCAAGAGAAAACCTTGAGTTGTTGGACCTTCCAACTGTCCAGACGGAGATCTTGGCATAGATACAAACGTAAGGTCATCTGCTTGCACAACCATCATACAGGAACCAAAAGAGCCTACAGAAGTAGAAGCAATTTCATTTCATAACAAAACTCTGTCCATTCTGTTCACAACCAAATAGGTCCACTAACTAATTAATCCCAGGATTTCTGTCAATCTTTTACTTTCCATTTCCACAATTAGTATGCAGAGAAAAAAAAATTGCTAACTAATTAATCCCAGGATTTCTGTCAATCTTTTACTTTCTATTTCCACGATTAGTATGCAGATAAGATGTAAGATGTTTTTGTGTCTCTTTGTTTAATTTCTATTTAAAAGATATAAATCCGTGAACTTCTCCGGACAATTTTCAACTTTGAACCGAGGAGACAGCTTCAGAGGATTCCTACATGGGGTTTAAAAGCAAATAGAATAAAATAAAAACCACACTTTCTTCAACAGTATACATTGGTAGACATCATGCCTTTGGAAACCGCAGCAGGTCATCGTAATGAAAAACAGATACATATTTCACAATTAACAGTCCGGACAACCGTACGACAATCTAATCGCCATGAGAATGACAAATGAATCTCAATAAACAAGAGACGAAGTGTACATACAATAGGCTGAATAGCAGAATAAATACCTCATAGTACGACACCAAATGAAGAACACTGGAAGACGAGCAGCTTGACACGAGGATTGAAAGGGGAAAAGGGACAACAAGATCTTCACGAAGTATTGTCCTTCAGATTGTACTTAAGGGCATAAGAAAAGCTTCTTTGAAACTGTGGAAGTTATTTCATCGGTTGGTTATCAATTTGATATAAGATGTACATATGAGTAAACGGATAATTTCAAACAAGAAAATCCACTTCAATGCAAATTCATTTATTCCGATGAATATTACATGAATATCGATGTGAAAAAATGGATATTACATGAATATCGATGTGAAAAAATGATCACAAGTAGTTTATTGCGAGTAGATATGCGGAGAAAAATTGATCACACTTCAATGCATGCCTTGACTCCCAGTTTCCATCAAAACCATATATTCACAATTTTCATTTTTTCTAAACGTATCATTTCATTGCAAACTCATGCCGCCACAATCTATCATTGGACAGAAATCGGGTTGTCTAAGAAACATATCTCTTTACTACATATGCATGCCTGTCGGCATAATCTATTGCCACACTCGCACCAAAAGGATGCAATATTTTCTCGTTCATTTGCAGGTTCTACATCCATATACCTGGCTTAAAACAACAAAGGGCACAGAAAATCTTGGATAAAAACTTGCAAGAAACAGGGAAGAATGTAATAAATATTTTACCCCATTCTCTTGCAGCGGATACACCAAGAAGATGCTTAGAATTCCTTTCCTTCCTGCTGGGGACCTGGCATGCCAAAAGTAAGAGAAACAAGCATCACCTAGAGTCCTCTTCCAGATTCGGCAGAAAATTCTCCATCAGAAGCAATCTTTCTAGTCCACTCCTCTGTCTCGCTATCGTTTCCTATTTCTTCCCATGTACAGGGTTGCAATCGAGTGGCCAATTCCGAATAAGTTAATCGGAGGATGCGTGAAGTGGGAAATGGCCACCAGATTGCACCACACCTTCCTATAAGCTTGTTTGTTAAAATATAGCAGTGCTATTATTGAAGGTGAGGGTTAATGCAAATGTATTACAAAATAAAAATTATAGTGGAACAACTTTAGTTGTAAGATCCAAAAGAAAATGTGGTTGATAGAGTTTAATGATCAAAGACATATTCCAGCCAACGGAAAATAAACCTCTCAAATCTATATCAGTTCACAATGCTTCAATGTTGAAAATGGATATCATCACATTCTAAGAAATCATAACCGGATCCATCCGGATCATAATCCACTACTCAAAGTTATTTTGTGGTTCCAACTTGTCATATTATGAATGGTCAAGTATGCAAGACTACTCACAGACCAATTGAATGGAAGAGAGGGAATGCCTAGAGTCCATCTGCTGAAACTCCATACCAAGTGTCCTTAATAAAAATTCACAATCTTTGAATCCCAACCAAATCTCTTACTCTGTCAACATCTTCCCTGCGGAAAATGGTAGAAGATCAATTTGCGAAGGAAAAAAAAAAAGTTTATTGAAACTTTCAAAAGATGTAATATTCTATTATGCTTACAAAACATCTTGGGAGGTATAACTATAGAAAGTAAAAATATTAGATAGTTTACATCAAGATATAACTTAGTAAATAATATTGTCGAAGAGTTTTGTACAAGTCTGTGTTTTTTCCGCGAATATTATTTTATTTCTTTCTTTTCATGAGTCTAAAAGACAGAGCTTTGACATTCTTGAAGGGATGTAGGTTAAAGTCATGTCCAATAGATCCTTTACCTTCCTAGGAAATGTGGGATGTCATCCGAAAATATTAAAAATTCTGAGCATATGTGCATTGCATAAATAAGTGGGTGTATTGCATAAATAAGTGGATTTGTGATTTGCTTTCTTTCTTGCATAATGGACATCATTTTGGAAATAAGGTTACGCAGGACATTCTTTTTTTTTATATTTTCACTTGTATTGATGGCTTTATGCGCTATTTTCCAAAGGAAAAACTTCATCTTTTTAGGGTGATTTCCTTTCCATATTGTCTTTGCTAGCGTGCTATTTATTACTTCTACTTTTTTTCCTTATGTCCATCATAAAAAATTTTGTAGAGAAGATCTCGTTAGTGCTAGGAAGCCATGTCAATGAACAACTGGGGCAAGGTTGAGGCTTACTTTAGCCCATTCTATAGCTTCGTTTTCTTTTAGGTTCCTACCAAGTTTCAGGTCCCAAAATTTGTTGACAACCTTCCACGTTTCTTTGATGGTGGCTCTTTTGTTATGAGAGTGACTACACAAAAGTGGATATCGCATGGCTAGCGTGATGTTTTCAATCCATGGATCAGCCTAGGATGATGTGCTTCCCCATCACCCACCCTAGGGTGAATTCGGTTAGTGATGAGGTTTGATGTTTCTTTATGTACTTCCATGGTCCCAGGGTGGATTCGGTTAGTGATGAGGTTTGATGTTTCTTTATGTACTTCCATGGTCCCTTTTGCAGAGGATGGAGGGGGTCGATTTTTGCATGACGTAGTTGTATATATATATATATATATATATATATATATATATTTTATAAGAGCAATTTGATTGATGAGTGAAATTTACAAGAGGGATGTATAATCCTTGGTGTTTACAAAAGACCTTCCAAATTTGCAATGAGGGAGGTATAACTATAGGAAGTAAAAATATTAGACAGTTTACACCAAGATATAGCTTGGTAAACAACATTGTCGAAAAGTTGTGTGTAGGTCTATGTCTTTTCTGCAAATATTCTCTGATTTCTTTCTTTCCATAGATTCCAAAAGAAAACCATGATGAGGTTTTTCCATAATAGGGCTTTTGCATTCTTGAAAGGGTGATACGTTAAGGCCATATTCAAAAAATCCTTTACCTCCCTAGTAAATGTGAGATGTCATCCAAACATATTGAGAATCGTTGTCCAGAAATTCTAAGCGTATGTGCATTGCATAAACAAGTGACTTTGTGATTCGTTTTCTTCCTAGCATAATGGACACCAATTTGGAGAGAGAGTGATATAAGACATTCTTTTTTGAAGATTTTCACTCATGCTAATGGCTGCTATTTCCCAAAGGAAGAACTTCACCTTTTTAGGTTGATGTCCTTTCCATATTGTCTTTGCTAGCGTGGGATTTATTGCTTCTACTTTTTCCCCCATGTCCATCATCAAGGATTTTGTAGAAAAGACCCCATCGGCGCTGGGGAGACAAGTTAGTGAGTCTTCTTTGTTTGACAATACCATAGGGGCAAGGTCAAGGCTTAATTCGGCCCACTCCGTTGCTTCATTATCCTTTAAATTCCTACAAAAATCCTTTAAATTCCTACCAAACTTCAGGTCCCGAAATGATGTAGTTGTATATTTAGTTTTTATAAGTTTTCTCCCTTAAAGGCATTTCTTTGTGATGATATCTCCATATCCATTTGTGAGGAGCTTTTTTCTTCTCCTTTATCAAAAATAGACCAAGTCTGCCGTTTTCTGCTGGAAAGTTTATGATATTTCATCGATCAAGGTGTGGGTAATCTTTCCACAAATAGTTTCTGAACAATCTTTCTAAATCTGTAGACACTTTTTGTGGCATTTCGAATAGAGACATGTAGTGAGTGGGAAGGTTGGACAGTGTAGCTTGTATTAGGGTAGTTTATGATATTTCATCTAACAAGGTGTGGGTTATCTTTCCACAAATAGTTTCTGAACAATCTCTCTAAATCCGTAGCCACTTTTTGTGACATTTCGAGTAGAGACATGTAGTAAGTGGGGAGGTTGGATAGTGTAGCTTGTATTAGGGTGACTCTTCCTTATTTTGAAGTATAACATGATGAACATGTTGATAACCTTTTCATTTTTTCAATAATAGTCTTCTACGGGAAAAAGAATTTGTGGTTTCCTTCTAAGGGTAACTTAGGTACATATTTGGTCATTCGCTCTCTTTACAACTGTATTTGCTGGCAAATTCAAAATCTTTGTGCTAATGTTTATACCCATAATCTTTATTTTTTTAAGATCGATATTTTGTTCAGAGAATCTTTCAAAGGTTTTTATCGTCTTGATCATGTTGTTTATGAAAGAGACATCTGACATATTAGAAAAGAGGATTGCATCGTCCGCAAACTGAAGATGGTTGATGCTTACGCTTTCGTTGCCAATCTAAAAGCTCTTTGTTTGTCCTTCATATTCAACTTTAGTGAATGGGCGACTGAGGCAATCCATTACCATTATGAAAAGAAAAGGGATGGTGGATCCCCTTGTTGAAGACTCCATGAGGCATACATCTTCCTTCTCGGTCTTCCATTTATGATGGTGGAGAAATTTGTGGATGAGATGCATCCTTCTATCCACATCCGCCATTTTGAGCGAAAGCCTTTTGCTACAAGAATATTTTCAAGGAAAGTCCAATTGATTTAATTGATGGCCTTTTCCAAGACAAGTTTGACAACTACACCTTTTTGTTTCTTTCTTTCCCAGTGGCACCAATTGCCACGAGGGATGCATCGAGGATCTGCCATCCCTCTACAAAAGCTGTTTGAAGACATTTTGATAGCACCCTTGCTATGATTTTGTATAGTCCAGCCGTAAGACTTATGGGGTGAAAGTCTGCAACAGTACAAGTATTTTCTTTGAGATCAAATATATGTACGTTCACTTAGGTTTCCATTGATGACTCCATTTAAATATATATATATAGGAATACTCTGATGATATTGGCTCTCAGAATGTTCCAACATTTTTTAAAAAATCTATGAGGTAAAAAACCATCCGGTCTTTGAGTTTTGTCGGAGCTTAGGAGCTGTATCGCCTTCCCCCTCTTTTTCGGTGAAAGCAACCTAGAGGGAGTTGATCAATAGAACTCCAATCAAGATCACGGGGGAATTCGAAGATGGTATCATCCTTTGTAGATGGTATCATCCTTTGTACATAAGAACGTGTAAAAACACAAATTTTAAGACAATTTCATCTTTGTTTACTAGACATTTGACTTGTGTCAATAAAATTTCCAAAATAGTACTTTCGTTTCTTTGTAGCCATGATAGGACGGAAAAATTTAAAGTTTATTAGCGGTGGTCCCACGAGAATGAATGGGGGAGATATTACAAATACTTCTACAATTAGCAATCATTAAATAAATGCACAACGTTACAGGGAAACTCACTAGAGATTAGAGAGAGCTAACTAAGAGAATAAAACTTAGATGCACATAGTTTTTCATCCTGGGACTGGTGGGGGGAGGTTTAGAAAGAATAAAGTGCTATGAAAGGGAGAGGAGATATAACAGGGACAGCTCAATGCAACTTAGCACTTTAGGCCAAAATTCTTACTTGCCTTTTTAATATATAGTTTTAAGACCTTTAAAAGCTTATGCCAAATTGAAGAAAGGACATTTGAAGAATAAATTTTCCATGGCCTCTCCATTATATTTAAGTAAACACCAGTTGGGGTTCATTTGACGACCTTGGAATTAAAGCTACCCACTTCCAAAGTTTCACAATCATTTAGATACTCGTCCAAACAAACATCAAGGGAAACACTGGCAATCCCACACTCAACCACCTTAGCATACTAGCCAAGGCACAGCTCAAGTAATCTGGGGAAGGTAACTCAAAATACTAAGGACCTTGTATTCGATCCTTCCAAAATCTTAGGTAATATTGCCCATCACAAACCTAGATCTAAGGACCTTTTAGCCTACTCATCAAGGACCCAAATGTTGCTAATGAGATCTGCCTTCTGCGCATAACCATTACAAAAAATGTCCTCGGTTTTCTTTAAGTTTCACCGCTGGTTCTATATCTCTGCCATTTCTTGGCCAGTAATCTAGGGTTCCATGCTAGATCCAAGTATGCTGATATCAACTATCAAACAAGCCTTGTAACAATCTTTATAGGAAATTCCAAGTAATATGTAACACTCTTTATTATATCAAATAAATCTTCAACATCATGCAACGAAACTGTCCCATCGTCAAGTGCAACTGCTATCACCTACCATCAGGACTCCAATATAACGATTTCATAGACCTTCCTACATAGAATTTATGCAATCACTCATAGCCATGGATGTCGGTGCACAACAACATAGAACATCAAAACCCAATAACCGAGTGCTAAACATAACGTCCTAAAGAGGAAGAGTCAATATTGTTCTCCTGTTGTATGTATTACGTTTTGGTGAACCAAAATTGTTCAAAAACATCAATAGTTCAAGAATCACTAAGCTATCATTAAATAACTTCAAAATTGCCTTTTGAATGAGGAAATACTGCCCTTCGTTAGGATTCAGTTTTAACAATTAACAATTAACAATCTTATATTAATCTATTTAACCTATGCATTACGTTATAACAAAAAATTTCTGGCTTCAACATTATATTAGATGCAATTCATCAGGCCAAACAACTATGATAAAGCAGCGAGAAACTCAAAACTGGAAGAAAGCCGGTTAGATTAACTTTCGTTCAAAAAGTTTAGGAAATCAAAAAATTAGGCTGAGGAAATCAAGGAGACATATAACTCACCAGGTGATATAGTCCGCAACCTCCGCCGCGGTGGAGCAAAACTCCCAAGTCTTCTGTGACAATGGCTAGCAAATCCTTTCCGGTTTCCACTCGGCAATTTCAACCTTCCATTAGCAAATCATGAAATATTCCGAGCAGAAATCAACTTTCTCTTTTTTTTTAGTTCAACGAAAACAACTCACTCATGGATCACCACAAACAAATACTAGAAGCATCGTTCCCCCAAAAAATAAAGAAATGAACGCGCAACTAAGGCGGCGGATGCTTGTCGAATGTTGAAAAGAGAAAAATAAACCTGAGAGGCAATATGCTTGTCGAATTGGAGCTGAAATGGAAAGACACGGTCGGCCTCGTCGGCTTCCATAGCTTGATCTGAAATGGAAAAGCCTTCAGAAGCTGAAGTAATATTGGTGAAGAGCGAGAGAGAGAGAGAGAGAGAGAGAGAGAGAGAGGCCGAGAAGGAGAAGCCTCAGAGGACGAAAGCGGCAGTACTGAGTTGAGTTCACAGTCCGGCCAACAGAAATGAAGCGACAGATTCACGAAGCTTTCTAAAAATGAAAATGTAAATTAAAAAAGAAGTTACGCCGTTGCCGGGGATCGAACCCGGGTCACCCGCGTGACAGGCGGGAATACTTACCACTATACTACAACGACTTGTCGATCTCCGTTTTCTATTTTATACAATTACTACTTACAACTTCAAGTGTATCATTAAGTAAGAGCTGTTTGAAGCATGATTTACATCTAATTAGAACCCTTCAATTCCATGATCTTATTAATTAATGGTTGACCAGACACCACAAGCACATACAAGTAACGGAAAAATAAGAACACAATCAAACCAAGTTAATGAGCAATCATGTTTTAAACTGGGTGTTTTTTATGGAATCAGCAGTATCTTTCCTATATGCTTGCTACTCTCCAACTGCTGGTGGGCTTCTGCTGCTCCTCCCAATGGAAGATACTTCAAAATCACCGACAAATGTTTGTCCTATTATGTCCACTGTTCTTGTGTAGTGTTAGGAGAAACGTTTCTGGCTGCTACTGTGACCGTGACCGTGACCGTGAGAGAAGATGGAGGTGACAGTGTGCACAATCCCCACCATGATTCCCATCTTCACTTGCCCTCGCTTTGGGATCGGACGGCCACCAATCCTCCTGCATATTCTCTCACCGTCGATGTTGTTCATCGTCTTGGCTTTTGAAGAAGTAATAGAAACTTGTTTGTTTGAAGTTTTGGATGCTCTCTCAAGGCTTCGTTGAGGTGGATTTCTATAGGCAGCCAATTCAAAGTTGAGAATCTCGGGCAGCTGGCTTTTTCATTTTTTATATTTTGTGAAATTACCACTTTCTCCTTGCGTGGGGAGAATTTTTCTACATGACAAGGGTGTTTTTGGGTTTTTGGGACAAATATGGGATTCCACCGAGGGGACAAGATAAAGGCAAGACCATAATGAAAGTAATAAAGTTTTATGGGTTTCTGCTTTTGAATGAATCTATTGACGAAAATAAAAAAATGAAAAACGTGTTCAAATTTCCCAAATCATATTGCTTCCCACTACCGAGCAATAAAATTAAATTAATAATAAAAAAAAAGAATCCGGGCAGTTGGTGCTGCCCCAGACTCACACCACGCTGAGCCACGCTGGCTTTTTATACGCTTCATCTGGTCCAGGTGGCATCTCTTCCGGCAATACCAACCGCCTGCTTTTTTAATATATATATATATATATATTTTTTTTTTTTTTTTTTTTTTTTGTTAAATCCAACGCACCAGCCCTGCTTAACACATAACCTTTCGAAACTATTATTTTATTTTATTTTTTAAATTTTATTTGACAGAGTGTTGGATTACGTTGAAGGGCTACAGATTCGCATCCAAATCCTCAGATTTTGTCCCTTTTTTCTTTTTTGGGATTTTTTTACCTACTTTATCTCAATTAGTATAAAATTTTATAAAAAAAGTTAAAAATAAAGTTTATATTAACAATTTTCTCTTGAAAAATGATTTTTTTACTTTATAATTATTGTAATTATTGGCTTTCATAGGAATATTAAGCCTAAGTTCATAACTCCGAATGAACACGGTAATTTGGTAATTTTAGTTGAATTGTTGAGCTTTAAGAGTTTAAATTAAATAACACAAATGAGTACAAAAATCAACAACAAAAAATATTATTACTTCACCGTAAATTAAGCAATTTGCTAATTTACAAACAACTTTCGTAAATAAAAATTTTAAAAATCACACGCACTAAATTCATCGACGCCATGGAAGGCCATCTCGGTTTCTTCCCCATCTTTCAATTAGCAATTCGGAAGATCTTAGTGTCTAATCAGAGCCATCGATTTTAAAAAACAATTCAACGCTTCCGATTAACTGGTTCGATTCCCGGCCACTGGAGTTATTTCCGACCGCCGTGAAAGAAGATGGAAGAGACGGAGTGAGCAATACCCGCTAAGATAGCCATTTTGACCTGACCCCGTTTCGGAATCAAACGGTCAGAATATTTACTCGACAGGTTTCCACCGTTGATCGCGTTGATCCTGGTACCGCCCATCTCTGCAACAGAAATTTCTTGATTTAGAGAGAGAGAGAGAGAGAGAGAGAGAGAGAGAATATGGTATTATTTGTTTTTGAAGACGGTGCTTCTTATGCTTCGAATCTGTCCCGACTTCAAATATATATAAGAAAATATAGGCAAGAACCAGAAGGCAAGATGACGGTAATGGCCTTGGATTGGTGTAAGTTGACGATTTTAACCCTGCCTAACTAGTGCTTCTCTGGTTGCTTTTTAATGAAAGGGTTTTTGAGTTTTGATCCCACTCCTCTCTGGCTAATTACAAATTTGACCTTTTGCACTTTAGAAGAAGAGCTGACGTCGTCGCTTGTTCCATAGATGACGTCAGCTTGAATTCAGTACCTCACTTTTTTAATTTTATTTTTTAAAAAAATATATTTATTATGAAAAAACGTGCTTTATATGACTTCCACTAGGAAAGGGAAAATGCAAATAAGGTATCTAAGACTTGAGTCTCACCCACTGCTAACTCTCGTATTATTATATTCGAGTATCTTTGATTCATGTATCTATGATTGATTCATGTATCTATGAAAATTAGTATTATTATGCTTATAAAAAGATTCGTCTAGCATTATTATAAAATGTGGAATCATTATAGAGGGTCGTTAAAATGCGATAATCTTGTTTTTGTTTCGGTTCTAATAATTAGTATCAAATCATTTTGGTGGGGACATTTAGGTACCACAGTTTCAATCTATAAATTTTAGTTGGAATATAAATTAAATTGATGTTCTATCACTCATACTATATAGTTTTAAATAAAGCAAGGACATAAAAAGCGACATAATAATGATAGGCTTTAAAGAAAAGAATTGAAATGAATAATCTCAGGCTGCAAATTTGAAAGAGACATGTTGGGTTCAATGTATTGTTTTGAGATCTCATAAATAAAATATTAGCCAAAAATTTACAACCGAAATCAAAAACACCTCTCTCCGACACCCATCGCTCGCCGCCGTGGAATCTAACTCCGGCGAGTGGTTGGCGAGAAAATTGAAACAACGGAATGAGCGAGACCCACCATAATCCCCAATTTGACCTGTCCCCTCTTGGGAATCGGACGGCCGGAACTCCGGGGAGAGTAGGTGGCGGCGCTGATGTCGTCGCTTCTGGAACCGCCCATCTATGACTGAGGAAAAATTCGGCGGCGGGAGTGAAGGTTAAAAGTGGAATTTGAATGAGTGGAAGAGGCGATGGAAAGTGGAAATTTATATAGAGAGGAGAGAAGGGGACAGAATAAAGCAAGGGGTAAGAGAGGGATTATAAAAATAAGGGGTTCACGTGGCGGAGTGAGACAGAGAGGGTGGGCTATCCGCCATGACAGCGCGGCGCTGCGCTGCCTTGTCCCACCACCACACTCTGCAAGACTGCCACTCTAAGAAAGATTCCATTACACGTCATAAAACAAACCCCAAAAATGAAACGTACGGACCGGACCTGTTTTGGGCCTTCAACTTCAAAGCCCACTCAACGCTATTATTATTATTATTAAATAATAAAATAATTATTAAATAATACCGTCTATTAATTAAAAATAAGGACAAAAGCACGTGCAGGTCACGTATTGCCTGAGGGAAGCAAATTTCGTAATCAGTGGTTGATAAATTATATATATATGTTTTTTATTTAGCCCTGAAATTAATCGGATTTCTTCCCGACAACTTGTTTGTTGGTTGAATTGCTTCAGGAGACTAAATTATCATATAATTAAATATTTATTTTCACATTTTTCATGTCTGTATGGCATCATAAATTTATTGTCTGGTTGACTTTTATATATTCACCTACTAACTAATAACTTCTGATTTTGTCTTCTAAATTTTCAATTAACAAATTAATAAATGTGAAAAGATTTTTAAATTTTTTAAAAATTATTAGAATATATTGTGTGGTATTTGGTGAAAGGTTGATAAAGTGGGATGAAATAATGAATTTCAAGTTGGAAGTTAGATATAATTTAATGTACTGATCTTCTTATTTCTTAATTTACCCACACACATTATTTTTGTGAATATTATAATATATTTGTTTTAGAAAATAAAAACAATCAAACTCAAATTAAAAAAAAAAATGTTTCTGTTATTTTAGAAGAAACATTAAAATCAAAATTATAATGCGATGTTAATAAAAAGAAACGTCAATAAAGGCCATTATATGTAATTAAGTAGAATTCAACTCTTTTTGGCTGAGCCAATCTAATTGAAATAATTATGGTAGTCATTAAATCGTTGCTGATTTAAATGTTAAATTATGAAAATAATTCTTATTATTTGGAAATCTATAAAAATTAATTATATCGATTAAATTTTAAGATATTTAGTAAGTACGAGGCAAAAAAGAATTGGTTCAATATGTTTGACATAACTTAGTTCAGCTTCCATTGTCAAAAAAGTTCCTTGACGAGAAAAACTTCTTTCGAGATTGTGTGTAGGAGGCAATTGCTTATGCAATATGTGGTTGTCCACCGTTTTGTAGGAAAAGACTTTTAAGCTTACAACTTTATCAAATAGTGAAAACAAATGTTTGTGGCATCTATTGAAGTTCCAAATAAGTGACAATTACTTATGTAACAACTCAAGCTCACTACATCTAGTAGATATTGGTGTATTTGAACGTTCCCTTCTAAATTTTAGTATGTGTCTACCACCTACTGCTGTCACGGACAGATATTGTCATCTCTAGGTTTTCCCTTCAAGATCTTCCCTTCAAGGTTTTAATACATGTCTACGACCTACCACCACTAGCAGATATTTTCATTTTTGAATTTCTCATACAAGGTTTTATAACGCCTCTAATAGGTAGAGGTTTACACACCCTTACAAGGAATTATGTGTTCTCCTTTCCAATCAAGGTGGGATCTCACAATCCACCCTCCTTGGGGGCTAGCGTCCTCGCTAGCGCACCGTCCAGTGTCTAGCTCTGATACCATATGTTACAGCCCAAACCCACAGTTAACAAATATTGTCATATTTGAATTTTCTCCCAATGTTTTAAAACGTATTTACTAAGATATAACTCTCTCCAACCGATGTAAGATCTTACGATTTATCAAGCTAAAGCCAGATTAACTCTAGTAAAAACTAAGAATGTGGTGCAAAAATAAGAAGGCCCAGATAAAATCATTCACCAAAGTTTGGTAGACATTATAGATAATATTGTTCATGTCTTGTATCACAATAAAGAACACGATTGAGAAAGAAGAAGCAGAAGAGATGTTAGCTATTAGCTAATAGGACCGGAGGAGTAGATAAGCTTAAAAGAAAATTAGGAGATAGAGATTCACCGCCATGCCTTGGATTGAATGTAAATCCCGAATTAACAATAGTATCCAATTCGGTGTCGTTTCTAAATTTTACAAATTTAGTTCCCTAAAAAATAATTTTAAAATCAAAAATCAAAAATTTGAAAGGAGAGAGACAGAGAGATACCCATTAATGAGGAGCCAACTGCCCCGCCAATACCATCTCCAATAAATGCATTTCCTGCCCCCCACTTTCTCCTTACCCACTTCCATTTCCGTATTTCTACTTTCCCCAATCCTCACTTTCCTCTCCCAAACAACTTGTAATCCTCAAAGACGCGTCCAAATGAACCGCCACATGGCTATCTCCACTCTTCTCGTCGCCGTCCTCCTTCTCTCGCCGGCCTTCTCTCTCGCCACCGCTCGGAACAGCGGAGGCGGCGGCTTCGATGGGATGTTCGGACCTGGTAATGGATTTGACGACATACCCGGCTTTGGAAAGGGCTGGGATAAGGGCATCATCGGTGGAGGATATGGCGGTGGCTACGGCGGCCCCAAAGGTGGATACGGGAAGGGCGGGATCATAAGGAACACTGTCGTGTGTAAAGAGAAAGGTCCTTGTTACAATAAGAAGGTGACTTGTCCGGCTAAGTGTTTCTCCTCCTACAGCCGATCGGGGAAGGGCTTCGGCGGCGGAGGCGGAGGCGGTGGCTGCACCATCGACTGCACTAAGAAATGTATCGGCTATTGTTAGAGAGGGCTCTGAGTGTTTCTTTGACACGGCCGCTGGGTAGCCGGAAAAAATATCTATAACTAGTAAGCTTGTTTTAATGGTATGAAAAAAGGCTATGTAATACAGTTTTACCAGACTGATATCATATAGTATTATAAATATTATCATAATTATTATGGTTTTTCTTGAACTCTTGTGGAACTGTGTTATCCTTTCTTGTGATATACATATATACATGGAAGGTACCAATGGAAAGCTTTTGTCCTTGAATGAGTAAATGGGAAAAGAACGAACGCAAGAAACAACGAATGCATCTTGTAGTGATGGGAGGTGAATGAATATAAATATAGAAGCATCGGAGAAAAGCAGGCTGTTCATGATGAATTCTCCAAGAACACGTCCAACCCATTCCATCTTTTTCTCCTTCCATTAAACTATCATCATTTCATCATTTCTTTGGAATGAAAGGTAAAGAACTAGAACATGACAACCAACTTTCCCAAACAACTTGTAAAAATGAACTCAGAATTCAATCAACCTCAACATTCTAACAATATGGTCTATAAAAGTGACACTACAACCTCTGGGGTGGTCAAATTACATCACGGGCGAAAAAAAAACATACATTGAAGTTGGGTGGTAAAAATGAAACAACGTGACTGAACAGCCCGTCAACCTAAAGCAGTAAACTTATCCACAGCCAGTGGCTAAGTGCATATACAACCTATGTTCTGGGACGAAGCCCATCGGTGTGGTTATACGTGGTCACTGCATCACATGGCTGCCCTCACAGCGCCCCTGGCAGCCTCACGCCTCATCTGAGCTGCTTTACCGCTGCCTCGGAAGTACATGTATACTTGCTGCATGACAAAAGAGAGCGGCCAATGCATAGAATGAATTAGCAATTCTGTTGTTTTACATCTGTAAGCGTATGGATATAAAAAAGGGGAGAGGCATAATTGACCTGAATAACCCAGATGCTGAGAACTGATTCAAGACAGAATAATCCAAATCCAATAAAATAGAATATCTGCAACAAACAGGAAAATAGAGTATGAAACCTCCAGGATACGTAAATTAGAGGCTACGTATATTACTACTTTCCTAGGATAAATCATAGGAAAGTGAGCATCCACAATTCATAAGGGAAATTCTAACGACACTTAACAAAACCTGCTCTCATTTAAATTATTTTCATATCAGTAAAAAAAATCTTCTTAGACCAAATAAATCGTAACACGTCTCCATGCATCTCCCCAATTTAGTGGGTCATCCGAGGTTTACTGATATAGGTTAAAAAAAAAATAATAATAAATAACTGACTGAAAAGGAAATAGGCAGATATTTTTTTTAGTAGATCAAAAGAGAATCTTCCCCCAAGTCATGTGCTCATAAATAAAAGAAAATATCCTTACTCCGACCAAGACTTGTCCGCCAATAAGATCTATTGCAGGTAAAATGCCACTGTTACCACACCGAAAAAAAAAATATCATTAGTACGAGGAAAAGAATATGGAACTTCTATTAATCTAAGAAAGTACACTATTGAGCACTATCTCAATGCATATCTGGAAGTCTAAGAAGCACGGATACACATATGAGACATGGATATGACATGCCATAGACACATTTTTAAGAAATTTAAGACAGACGTAATAAAGACAGGTTTATTAATATATGTGTGTGTGTGTGTGTGTAATTTTCAGACAAGAAATTTCAAAATTCATAATGTTTATGCATTTATATGCCAAAAAGTGAGTTTGACGTATTTCGCTCTCAGGATTTTCGCTCTCAGGATTCATTATTACGTGTATACTTGGTATAATTAATAAGTGTTTTATATGGGTCTAACAAATGTTAGATCCATATTGATTTTGTACCCTAGTGTCTAACATATCGATTGCTTAAACAACTGTCCAACAAGTGTTGGAGTGTCCAAACACACTAGCCAAATTAAAGTGCAACCTATGACTCTAGAAGCCATTAGAAGTAAAAAAAGATCAAGATCAATTGAAAAAATATAGCTGAAATGGAGATAGAAATTAACTTTCCTCATATATGCACTAAGTCACTGATTTGAACATTTTAAAGCATCATAAACCAAACCAAACCATACTGAGAACACAAATTAACCAAACATGATAAATACCGAATACAAAGGATCATACCTCAGAGATTTTCCCTTGAAGACTATTGGAGGTGCTACCGCAGCAAATATGCAGAAACCAATATGAAGCTGTAGGAAAAAAATTCATCACTAAACTTGTAATGATAAATGTCCAATTTTCAAACAAGTGTTTACTATTCGGGAAGAAAGCTAAAGTTACTGAGCATCGCCAAATAGTATTACCAAATAAAACATAAAGAACCATCCAAACTTCATAGCACTTTCACTCCTGCAACATTAGAGATAAAAGAATGTTAATTAATATCTTCATGGTCAGATCAATAGTTGTGAGTATGATATAGGGTTCCACCTTCAGAAGTGAGGGGAGGACTTATCAACTACATGAAAGGGATATAACACTCGTTAAAAATCTACTACACACCATTGTTTTCTAAAGTCTACAAGCATATCATTTTGTTTCTATAAGAAAATAATATCAACGTTCAGTATTTGATCGTATCAATTCTTTAAGTAATCAATCCTAAACTTAAACTCAAACATCAACAATCTATTCGAACAATGCAAACCCAAAAAAAAAAGAAAAAAAGAAAAAAAGAAAAAAAGACCATTCAAATAGGAAAGGGTAGAAAGAGGGGCGTACAGACAAGTTTAACGATCAAAAAAGGTACCTAGATGCATTGTAAAGTGGGCGATACCACAAGAAATATCCTCCAGGGACCCCAGCAATAAAATAGATGACAGCAAGGAACCAGATTTTTACCCCTACAACCATAAAATGGAAAGATGATGAGCAATAAAAAATTTACACACACAAGAAGACAATGAATTGCTACAGATAAATCATTTTTGCAAAATTGGTATATCAACTTACCTTCTCCCTTAATCCATGCTGTAGTAACAGCTATGATGTTCCAGAAGAGGCAAAGAGTTAGTCCTGTGCCACCAGAACATGACAATGTACTTTATGTCAATATCTTATATAAGAGATTTGTTGTGATAACCCATCTAAGAAAGAAATGAAGGCAACTTTGCAGGGGAGCCTTTATGTCAATAGCTCGAATAAAATATTTTGTTATAACTACCCGTCTAAGAAAGAAATGGCAACTTTGCAGGGGGGAAACAGTAGTCTTGTCCAAACAGTCTTAAATTTTTCAATCAAATTGTCAAAGGGTAAGATTCAACAACAGTGCCCATACAACAGGTTTAAAACTAGGATTATTGAATGATATCAATAATAACAGCCTATACACAAGAACAAATCAAGATAGACCACAAGTTCACATACCTAACAATGTAGTAAATGCAACGTACTGCAATCTTTGCAGATGAATAGGAATATCATTTGCAATATCATGGTGGATGATTGGGAAAAAAGGTGGCCAATTTTTCTGCTCTAGAACAATTCCAGCTGCAAAACAAGAACAGATCAGGTCATAAGCTGAATTGGAAAGAACATGTAATCTTCAATGCGGTTTCATTCTTCAACAAGTTGAACATATCTCTCTAATTCACCTTCTAGGTGGTTTTCAGGACAAGAGTGTTACTTTCCTTTAAAAAAATAAATAATAAATAATATAATAAATCCAACAAATAGGGTGATTGACAAGCAATTTAATTGTGGTAGAATGATTTGCTGGGGAACCTATGGATCATCTGAATTCCAGTTGAAACACAAAAACTAGTTTTCAAAGTGGCAACAAGAGAAATGTGCACTCGGTGGAATATGATTGTACATGTTATGGTGTCAAATCCTCAGATTGCATGAATTTCCCAAATTTGTTATTACTTAACTCTTTTTTAAGTATTGTTTCGATTTATGCATATGCGTAATACAAATGGATTTAGTTATGCTTGACTAAACTGAAGGTATGATCTCATTATGACAGAATGCCGCTAAATTTATGAAATACATTCTGAGAGTTCTACTGGCAATTTAGCATCCTGATATGGACTTCAACAGTCAGAATAAATTACCTCGATTTGCAGCATCTTCCCTCCGTTTTACCTCCTGCATTTAACCAAGAATGCTAAAGAATAAAATAAAGTTATCTAAAATTTTAAATTTTAACTTAGATGAATCAGAACCAGTACAAAGATTTCATTTCATTTCAAGTAGCGGAGGAAAGGATGACAAAGGGGATTAATCTTGTGATTTGGAAATTCAATCTCATGCATAATTTGAACTAGAGCCAGCGCTTGGCTAGTCTGTTGTGATTAAATTATATAATAAATTCTAAATATTTGCAAAGTCCATTTCTTCTACTCTCAAGAATACAATTGTAACATCAATCAAAATCAAACAAGGAAATCATCCTGATTATTTCCAGATGAGAATCAAGTTTGAAATTAAACACCAGAATAACAACTGCAAAAACCTATTCAAAGATTTTAAGCATTCTTCAAGAAGTACCTGTTCCCGCCTTTTCAATTCAGCCTCTTTAGCTTGGAGTTCCTTCTCTTTCTTCTTCAAATCCTAATTTTTTTAAAAAAAATTGGTGCAATTAAGAAATCCAGGAGATCAATGGTGGAATAAAGAACATAGTACACACTAAAAATCTCAAAAACCTTAGATTTTGATCCTCCAGAATTTGAATCGAGTGGTATGTCAACAGTTGCACCATGACCATAATTAAAACCGACTGGTTCTGGAGGAAGAGGTGAAAGCCTGGAATTTGTAGCAGGGGCAACAGTTCCAGGATTCTGGAAGATTACCAGTAATGAAGTTAGTCAAAAAAGTAAATAAGTTTGACAAGATAATATTTTAACCAATAAATATAGTGTTACAATCATCTTTATGGAATCATGAGATGAATGAAACCATTAAAACCAGGTTGAATTTAAGACCACAGGTTGTGATTTTCAGTTTATCCATATGCCAAGGGAATGCGTAGTTATTGACAAAACTATAGTAATAAAGAGCAAGAACCATATATTAACTAGGAAGACTAGAAAAATAAGAAAAACATACTTTTCCCAAAAAATTGAAAATTGGGAACTGAAAAAAAAAACAAAAATCATGAAAGAAGTAACTTATCAAACGAAGCTGTATTTCTCTTAATAGAAAAATGTAATTGCAAAGGTTATCCATACTCGATTGACTGTATACTTGAATCCCTTTTCCTATTCTATTTTACTTTTGTTTTGGTTTGGTTGGGGAAGACAGAGAGCAGCTAGCTACTGCAGCAGCTTAACAGTCGAGGTTAGACTACTTTTTTCAGATGGTAAAAAGAAACGGCACCTCCGTCATAATTTGATTTCCTCGATGTCTTCACCCAACTGCAGGATCCTGGTTTGTAGATAGATCGGAAATTAGGTTTGTAGGCTGAACATCCAAAGGTTTACAATATACCGCCGGTATACGCAGAAATTCGAGAGGCACAATCTAAATATAGCTTGAATGTCCAAGTAAGTGGATATCTATCTTGATGATAATTCATGTTGAGTGAAACCAAATAATAGGGGTGAGAATCTTCTATGGGCTTCTTTTTCTAAGACTTGGGATAAGAAGAAGGAAAAAAAGGATCCAATCCAACCGTAGAAAATAAAATAGTAGAAATCCAAAAATCCACTAAGCTAAACGGAAATCCGCATCTACCGCATACTCAAACGACCTAGTCTATCGAACAACACAGCAAAGCAGCATACTAAAATCAACCAAATTCAGTAGCAAGTTGGGAGCATAATTTGAGCATCCAAAGCAAGAAGATCAAAGATAGAGGAAAACTCACTGCAAAGGGGTTGACTTCTTCTTCTTCAGCGAAAGGGTTTCTGTCGTACCGACCAGCCATGGCGGAGAGAGTTGCAAACGGAAGCGAGGAGCGGAATCGCAGAACCCTAGATCTGATTTGAACAGAGGAAGATGGAGAGAACGCTTAGGGATGAAGCAATTCAAAGCTGAAACCCGAGGAACTTTGACGGTTCAATCGGGGAAATGGAGTTTGGAAAGAAGAAAATGGAATCGTAGAGAGAGAAAAAAGTGAGAGAAGGTAGCCGTCCAGCTTAATACCTTTCAACTCAGAAGACTTTAAATAATGAAAATTTTGTAATGTAAAAATTAATTCTACCCATAATTATTTAGTAAAAAATTAAAACAATCCTAAACAACAAATTTCAATTTATGAAGAAAATAAAAATAACTACATTTTTAACTTTGTAATTGTCACGAGGACAAATCACGTGACCTGGATATTAATCTATTTTTTTAATAAATTAAATAAAATGATTTTGATATGTTATATGTTCAATTTAATTTTTTTAATGTTATATCCATCCCATGCTAATTTTTTAACAATATACAAACCGTACGACCAAAGGCTTATGGATTTAGCAAATCGGAAAGGAATGTTATAACTGAACCTCTTTTGAGTCGATGGATTTGGTGAGATCGCTACAAGAATGTTCACTAATTCGTTATAAAATGGTGGATTAGGTAAGTTGATGGTGAATATTCCTTCAACCTATCAAAAAATGAATTCCAATCAATCTCCCCAACCGGAGTGGAACAAAGAGCTTAGAACCACCATTTTCAATCGGTTCTATTTTCATTATTTATTATCAATTGTGGAGAGAATTATTTATCGAGATAAAATAGAGATCATAGGTTTATAAATGAGAATAATTAATTTTATTGGTATGAAACGTCTTGAGTAAAATCAAAATAGAGTTTGCCATTAGATAATTAACAAATTTATAATTTTTTACGTCGGTATCACAAATGGACTATTTTATGTTTATTAGTGCCCATAAACAATTTTTATATCTATTGTCAATATAGCCTCTTATTATGTTTGTCAACGACAACTTTGATTACTTATAAAGTATTTTTATATATTTATGAGGGATAGATTTTATTATTCATAAACTATTTTTATATCTAACATATTAATTATTCATTTTTATACTATGACTACAAAAATTTTAAATTTTAAATTAGTTATTAATTATTAATTAATTTTCTCTATTAAAATCAAAAGAAAAGTTGGATACATATGGATATATTATTTTTTTGGAGAGCCAAATTCTTAAAATATTATTTACCGAATAAAAGAAAAATAAGGAAATTTAGATTCCACTTAACAATACAATATCTCCAAGAGAGCCAAATCCTTTAAATATTATATACTATATAATTCATGTACTTAAAATAAACGTAATCAGCTGTGTCGGTCACCAAATAAAGTGGGCCGTTATCATACATGGTTTTGGGCCCAAGGCCCAACGACATGTCGGGCGCTGGATCCTTCATAATGAGAGTTTCACTTCATTTTGGGTTGGATCTACCCGTAACGGCCGAACCTTTTTCTTTTTTCACAAGCGGGAAAACCATTAATTACATTTAAAAATAACAACAATTACATCCTTATTTTATTTTATTTTTTTCATGACGAGCGATTTTTATTATATATATATATATATATATATATATATTCTTATTTCATGTTTTTTAATTAAAAATATTTTTGGATAATATTTTTGTTTTTTTTTTCTCTTATTTTTCTCTCCTATTATGTCTATTTGAGGCTTCATTATTCGTCATTTCTTTGATCATTGACGTTTAAGTTGACGAAAAACTAAAATTTAAATTAAGTTATTTTGTAAGAGGAAAAAACAAGAGCGATCCAAAATTGTATTTTAAATGATTGAAACATTTACTTCGATTATGTGTTCAATAATATTATTCGGCCACATGTACGGTAACAAATATCTTTTTAAAGGGTAGATGTAAAGTGTTCATGAAAAGAGTTGTTAATAATTAAGGGGATTATGAAAACATTTAGTATTGGTTGTGATAATGAATGCGTCCTTTGATGTCTCGTGGTAGCCCGACCCATGTCCCATGCACTGCTTTAAGCACGGTTTCACTAACAAAACATTAAAATTTCAATTACGTGTCCGGGTCGGGTTGCGGTTCGCTTCCGGGTATCTCAAACTAAAATGTTAAAAGATTTATGAATCTAATCCAGTATAAAGTTCTCGGTCATTAAAATAAAATAAAAAAAGTATAATCCTAAAAAATTGTCGAATTTTCATCTCTTTATTAGCCTCCCTCTTTCGCCCATTTCATTAGTACCATCCTCCATGGAAGATTGAAGATTCTGCAACCTCGCCGGCATGTTATAATGTCCGTCGCCGCCGACATGTTCTGAAGGCCGCCAGCTAAAATGGGTTGCTGCGTTAGTTCGGGGAAATCGTCAAGTTCAGCTCATAAATTCGATGCGGCAGCCGCTGATAAGATATTTGGGCCGTTAACTGACAACGGAAGCAGAGAGCCGCCGTCTTCCATGGAGGAAGAGACAGTTAAAGAAGTTCTCTCTGAAACGCATGCTCTGAAACCACTGGCAATTTCGCCACCGCTGAAGAATTGCCCACCGGAAGAAGATGAAGCCCAAAAACCTGTTGGAGATAAGGTCACCTATGAGATCGAGAAGAAGCTTCCTGAAATTCCCATTAATGGAATTGTACAACAGCCTTCTGAGTTCGATGAAATTTCCAACCCGGACAAGTTTTTCGCCACCGCCAATTTCACCGATATAATGGACGGCGGTGAAGAGGTTCATCAAATGGTCTTGAAAGCACTGCCGACAAATCAATCAATTCCCGGGGAAGTTGGGTTGAAAAGAAAATTGTCACCGAACAAGACACTTAACCGGAGATCAGACCAGTCGCCGGTCCGACGAAACAGCTTTGTTGGGTCGGCGAGATTGGTTCAGAAAAGAGACGCAAGTCCAGCAATGACCCATCGAGGATTGAGGACGGAGCCTACTCAGAAAGACCCAGATGAGAATTTCGGCAGGAGATCCCGGTCCCCAGCCACCGCACGTTTCGACAGCGGAGGGTCTAGATCCGCCCTGGGGCGGACCCCATCTGTGAGAAAATCAGGTAAATCATCGCCGCTTCGCACGCCGACAGCAATAACACAAGCACCGGCGACCAGTCGAAAAGTAGTAGAAGAAAACAATATCACTGATGGAAATATGATCACTCAGATTGAGTCACTAGAAAACCCACTGGTTTCCTTGGAATGCTTCATCTTCCTCTAAAAGTGAGACAAAAAAAAAAAAAAAAAATCCAATTCTCAATTGGTCACCTTTTTTTTGTGTGGGGGTTTTGTTGTTTCTTGTATGATTTCGTTCATGTTTTACTAATGTAAAGAAACAATCACGGCGGCCGGTCGCCGGAGAATTCATCAAAGCAAGGTGGTGGGGTTGTTGGTAATTGAATCATAATTTCAATTCAGAAGTTCAAGAAAGAATGATTAGTTACTGTTCATCACTTGAATTAAGGAGAAAAATAAAGAAGATAATTAGGATAAGACTCTTAAACGTTAATCACATTGACGGATGATAGGTGGCAACAATCCAAAATGTGTATAATGGGTTTTCCCCGAATTAATGGCACAAGTTCTTGTCAATTTTTCTCTACTAAACTTATAATTCAACTCTAAAAAAAAATTAAAAAATAAAGAATTTAATATCATTTAAAAGAAGTAAATGTACAATAATAGTAAGGATTCTAGATTTAACTAAGAGCATAGAATATGAAATATGAGTTTCATAAAAATAGCTTTAAGTTGCACAAACTTAGATAGCTAAGCTCAATGCGCCCAAAAGCTACAAAAATACCCGATATGATTGTATCAAACAAAAAATGTGACGGTTGGTCTTGTTTGTCTCTTCTATAAAGTTTTATGATAAAATAATATAGAATTGAGAGGAAAACGGAGTTGAAATTCAGATATAGTTTGGAGGGAAAGGGGGGGAAATTAAAACAGGGTTTTTGAGGCCGTTGAAAGGTGGGGGTGGTCCAATGCCCAATGGATCAATTCCAACGGAAAATACAAACCCAACTTATGGCGGATTTTGGTAACTTGAAATAAATTCAAAAAAAGGCGAAACCCCCACTTTCTGTTTCTATCCGAATCCTATGGCATTTGAGAGACACAAAAACAATGTCGAGTTTGATCATGATTGCTTAGTTTCCAAAAGCTTTTTGGATCATTTTCAGTGCATTTTTAACGTCTCTCTCTCTTGAAATAACGGAGAGTGGGCTAAGAAAACGAATGAGTTAAGAGTTGTGAGCGTACCAGGCCTATCTTACTACTTCCACTGGGCTAGCTTGCAAATGAAGCCCACACCGAATGGATGTTGTGTTGCTTCCTTCTTGGACCTGCAAAAAGCACAAGCCGGATTAGTGTCCACACCATCAATAATCCAAGTGATTTCAAATTCAATTAATAAAATAACAACTTAAATGGTGTGAGATAAAATATTAGTGGAAATCGTGACGTTCCAAAAGTTTTCAATTGATGGAACTCCTCTGATTGTCACGTGTGCCATGAATAGACATTTGCACACATCACCTATATTTAGAATAATATGAATTACCTTTCCTATATCAATTTACCAAATACAGTAACAACATAGAAATTAGTATTATTTCATAGAAATTGGTCCCTATAATTTATAGAAACATAAGAATTTAGTCCTAGAATAGATTTCTATGATACACTCATAAATACTATTTATCAGGGTTTTATCAAATCATACAAACAAGAAAAAAAATTATAACTTGTAAACTATGAAATAAATTTTTGCCAAAAAAAAAAAAAAAAAAAGGAAATACCAAAAAGCAAACAGAAAAAGAGGATAGGTGGTCTGAAAAGTCTAAAAAATATAGGTTGATACTGATATAAAGACAATGCCATACCTAAACAAGTTTTTTTCAAAAGAAAAAAACTCATGGAATATTACCACTATTATCATTGAGCTTTTATTTCCATTTTGATATCTACGGTGAAGAAAATCACATGCTTTAAAAAAATAATGCTATTGCGAAGGTCAAAAAAGGACATTGAAGCAAATCCAGCAGAGATACTATTGCCGTTTGTGACATTGGAAATCTAAATCGTGTAACTTTTTTATTTCTTTTCGCCAACACACTTTCGGCTTCGAACAGTAAAGGTTTGTTTACCCAACAACATAAAAAGGCATTTTCCTACGAGCTAGGCTTAAAAAGCAATACTCTATTTTGGCATGCTTGAATCCGAAGGCCAATGCATTGCCCCCCCTTTACTTCGACAACTCTTTTGCTTCATAATCTGAGGTAGAGGCCAGAGGGCAAAATCAAAGGCCAATGCATTTCCCCCCCTTTACTTTGACAACTCTTTTGCTTCATAATCTGAGGTAGAGGCCAGAGGGCAAAATCAAAGTCCAAGCTTAATTTGAAAATTTCTAGAGAACCTTAGGCTAGAGAGGAATAGCATCCAAATCTAAATTAAGTTGTCTAAACATAAGTGCATAGTCCAATGGTTAAAGCATCCTTTAAGTCAGAGCTCTCAATCCCCACTCCTTACATCTATTAAAAACCCAAGAAGGCTTCAGCTTGGGTAATATCTTTTAGTATCGAGAAAGTGAAATGGACAAAAGATGGGAAAACAGCATAAATATTCGATGACCAAGAGAAAGTTATAAAATGACAGAAAATTCTGATAAGGCACCGGTTGCAGAGAGAATCTGCAGAAAAAGGTAGAGGCAGACCAAATGGCCTTTGTACGAATGGGAAAACGATCTTGCGAGAGAATGGCAATGGGCATTAATGCTAGCATTTGAAAAAGGTGAATTTGGAATATGGACTTTTTCCATACCTCCTCCAATCTGAACATCATCAACAAGCCTTTATTGGGAGGATCAGTCCTCTGTATCACCACCACCTATGATCTTGACACGTGGCACTCAAGGTCCACCAAACAATCCTATCCCCAGCTTGTGGTTAACCATTAAAAAAACTTAAGAGGGACCCCACCATGAGAAAGTGTCATATGGGAAGACTTTAGCCGATGGAAAACTAGACCATTATCCCCACTTTGTGTAGGATAATGACCCTACATAAGTAATTGAAAGAGAAGACAAGGGTGGCATAGTTGGCTAGAGTGACAAGTCATTAGCCAAGGATGATCCCCATCTCCCTTTGTATGTAGTTCTGCTCAGTGGGAGGGAGATGGCAAGAAACCCGAAGATTCTACGTACAGATGAGGAGGTGGAGTGAGACAAAAATGAGATTATTGGTTAAATAGAAAAAGTAAAAGAAAGTGTGAGAGCAATAAGGCCTAAAAATCCTATAAAGTTATCAAGAATCAAGTTCCTCCACTTTGCCTGATGAAGAAGACAAATCAATGGATAAGATGGCAAAACTCTGATTTGATTGATCGGTACCAGAGTTTCTGGTTTACTGCGTCTGTATCCATAGACAACATTCTTTACTAATTTGATTAAAAGTCAAGCTTAGAAGGAAAACAAATCTCTACTTCCTCAACTTTTAATTATACTAACAATTTGACTAAAACACAGACAGGATTTCCTGCAACAGCATCTTTCTGCTAAATTCATAACGGAGAAAAGGTTTGAATCGTTATAATCCTTTCCAGCAAGAATGTTCAAAAGGAAGTTTATTCCTTGCTTTTCAAAAGAATGAATCTTTAGGAACCGAAAAGAATTATTAAAACGCTTAGTGGAACATTAAATATGTTTATGCCCGTGAAAGAGGTAAAGACCGAGGACATACCGTTGAACATAGTCAGCTTCCTTCGTTACTTTTGCCGCAACAATATTCGATACTGATATGTCTTTTGTAGGCTCTCTGCCCACTGCAACAGCTATTAGTTCTCCCTCCCTTTTTCTCTCCCCTTCTCCTTCTCTGTCTTTATCGCTGTAGTTGATGGAATTTGAGCATTCCAACATGACTCCAAGGAGAAAAGGCCGATCATCGTAGAGGCTCAGCAGAAACTGCGAAGCTTCATTGGAAGGCCAAAAGATTACGCTTTACCCTTTCTCTTATAACTCGTTACTCCTGTATACAAAAAGGTGAATCTTCTTTTGTTGTTTTAGTTCTGACACTCCTGCATAAACCTCATTGCAACTCTTGATGTTTGTCTCTGTGTCTGTGAATCCTTTATAATCTTCCTCAAATACCAAGAAAATATCGCACCCTGCTCTTCATTTCAAGACATTTTTGGGATTAGCAGCAGCAATTTTAGAGTATAGAAATTGACGCTGTATAAATGGGATTGGTGGGAGGCATAGAATGGATGAATGCTTACAGTAGGAAGCAATTCAGGAAACTGTTCTGGAGGATGAGAGCAGCGATGAAGAAAGCCATCAAGAACGGAGGAAAAAGAAGGTTCAATTTTCAATATGATCCTTGCAGCTATGCTCTAAATTTTGATGATGGGTTTTGCAAATTTGAAGCTGTTGCACCTGAAGAACCTGCAAAGATTCAGATTAGCTCAAATTTGAATCACTCTCCCATGTGGGTTTTTGTACTTCTGGTGAAATCTGAGTGAATTTTCTTGATTGGCAGATTGACTCTTTGCCTGCTCATTTTCTTCTGCATCCTTGATTAGAAGCCATCTACTTGCATTTTTTGTACATCTATGCTTGTCTATGATCTTCAATATTATTAATTGGTTCTGTTTCGAGAGAAAAACTGATCCTAGAGCTTTGACTGTCATCCTTAACATATTCACTCCTCCCTTTCTTATTCTTCCATCTTCTCACACGGCAATCTCAGTGTCTAGTATTTACCAATTTACTTTTGCAGACAATCCCAGCTCTCGGGTAAGCAGAAGCTATTTTCTAACAGATGAATTTGAAGAAACTCTGTGACATTCGTCTGCAAAAGGTTGTTAAGCGCAATAACAGGTTAGAAAGGAGAGGAAAACATGCTATTTGCCAATGAAGTTGACGAAACACAATATTGAAAGAAAAATGAATGTATAAATACAATTATTTTGAGTTTATAATCTGTTCATTTCTTAAAAATCCATCTCTGGTCACAATTTTGGGCGGCGCAGCGCTCAAATAAGGGCCCTTCGAGCATAGCAATGAAAAGCTTTGCAGTTTTGATTATGAAATTCTATCAAATCATTTAAGCCACTAACAAACTTTCCTGTGGGGCAATAATTATCCAAATGCAACTTAGTATACTAAATGGTCGATAAAATCTGAATGTTCAGAAAAGCACATTTCAAAAGATATTTGTAAAATATTATCATGAAACTAAAGTTCATTAACGTTCCCTCGAGTCTATATGAATTCCATCTACCAAGTTCCTGGAAGGTCCTCATCTGAATGGCAGCTTAAATCATAATGTTGAATTTAAGATCTAAAAGTTGACGATAGTATTGGTTGTATTTTCCAGGTTAAACATACCAGGAGAAAAACTTACAGCCCCAGTTTTCAGCACAAGGAAATGAAACTAGATCCATGTAATATGGCCCATATTCAGCCATCGATTGCACCCTTTTCCTTTCGGGGTGTGTAGGGGCAGATTATATTGATAAACAAAAAAGTGGAACACCGGAGTGAGGAAATCTCTTTAAAGGAATGTGAATAAGGAATCAGAATATGGAATTGAAACAAAATTTCTAATATTGCATTGAAGTGAGAAGATCATAATTGATAAAATTTACCATATCTGTAAAGACAATCAAACTCAAATTTGCATGGGACCGACATAGAAATGAGAGAGACGAAAAGATCAAAAAAGAGTACAGCAAGAGCATGGTAAAATTAAGGGATGAGAATAACATTATTTAACCTTCCCAAAATCGAACAGGGCATAGTTTTAGAATTGAGCTCTCAAATAGGGAATCATTCATCGTTTCTTAATTAATTTATTGAACATTGGAATTAAGAGAATGGTTATCTATACTATGATTACCATCTCCTGCATCTAAGATGCTAAAATCACCGCCATGCAAAAGCAACAAATAAATTATATCGGCCAAGGACTAAAGCATTGACACACCAATGCATCTCGCACCATGATGTGAAGAGAATCCAGTCAAATTAAATAAAATCTTTTTGCTTTGCTCTTTTCCCTTGAATCTCCACTTAAGGTTTTTCCAGTCACTAAAAGTTGTTGTGGCTCAGACTGACCATTGTCCTTCTATGCTCGAAAAGAGGTATTGTCACGTCCTTCCTTTCAGGAGAGAAGTAGAGAAGGCTGTGGCAGAGTGGTTTCATCACTGTGTTATGGAATATTTGGTGGGAGAAGGGCAGAAGAGATTTTCATGGAAAGAGTAGTTCTTGCGGAAGGTGTGATGGAGGCTCACTTCATTACCTCTATTTGGGCTTCTTGTAACAATTTATTTAGCGATTTATATCTTTTTAGGGATTAGCAACAGTTGGAGCACTGTCTGTGTTTGTTGTTCTAGTAGCCACTTTCTGGCTCATGTATTTTTTTTTCTTGTTCTTTCATTCCACTAAAGAATAACATAAATACTCATGGACGGTAGTAGTTTCTTCTTGTAATTTGACAGGAGTAAAAGTTGGAGCCTAGCAACGTAAATCCACAGATAATAAAAAAAATAAATTAAAATAGCTCGTAGATAAAGTATACTAAACCTTTTACGGGTTTCTGGCTCAGAAGGATAGCAGCTCACCTTGCAATCTTGAAGCGCTATAACTTGTGTCCAAGGACGTCTGAGTATTTAGAAACATCTATAAAAGCAAGCAGTGCATTATTTCTTCTACTCTTCCATTAAACGTTTCTGTAACAAGGAAGAGCAGAGTCCTTTATATATGGGTACATAAATATAATTAGTTTATATATTTCACAAATAAGCAAATGTAAACTGAGAGAATGAGTAACGCAAGGAGTTCAGGAGAAGGTTTAGGATATTGTCCGTACAGACGATTAACAAAGTATGTCACTGTCAATTGGATCAAGTCACACCAAATAGAAACTTCAATTTTTCTTCTCCCGCAGGTGGAAGAACAGAATTGGACTTGTGTCCAATATCTTCATATAGAATTTGGCTTACATTAGTACGCGAAGAGAGAACAGATATTTCAGTATTCTTCATTCTCGGGAAGAAAAAAAAAAAGGAAAAAGGCGATATACTATTTGCTGACTGTCGTGACACCACAAACAGCCCATGACTGTAGCATTAGAAGCATGCACAAAACAGATGCTTTTATGAAAAAGCTAATCGATGAACCAAATAACATCGTAGTATCATAAGTCAGTACTCAAAACATATTCATTTTCAAGTCAAAAGTAAAATTGTGAGGCGTAAATAAAACTTGAAAGTAGAGCAAGAAATGGACGTTATGGTCTCTTTCTATGCAAGCGGGGTCCTGACACTGAGCTTCTCTCACCTCAACTCTACAGGAATATCGTAAGAATCCTTTGAGCTTATTAGGTTGTGACAAAATCGAAAGTATAGAACAAATTTGTTTATGGAAGTGCTTTCAAGGAGCCTTTGTGGTTCACACACGACACAAAAAATTAAATATCTATATCATACACAAGGATAAGAAAATCAAACCCAGTACACAAAGAGAGCAATGATACTAACAAGGATAAGTTAACAAAGTATCAATACCACTCGTTATCTAAGTAATCTCACAAAGTTTAAGAACGCATCATACCCTGAATTCAAGTCTTCAACTTTGTCGACTGTTGAACCTGTCAAACTTTCATCTCAAGATCTTTATCTGCAGTTCATGTAATCTCACAAAGTTTAAGAACGCATCATACCCTGAATTCAAGTCTTCAACTTTGTCGACTGTTGAACCTGTCAAACTTTCATCTCAAGATCTTTATCTGCAGTTCATGTATAAGGAGATACCTGTTTAGCAAATGGTTAGGTGGAGGTGGTACCAGAGAATAAAAGACAGAAATTCCCTATAAAATAGAAACAACATAGAATGAATTAACTGATCACCAAATGCAATGGAAGGACACATTTTTATCTCAAATTCCATCCAGAATTTCCGAGCTGCATCAGCATGCCCCACCACAGCATAACATGTTACTCACCAACTTTTTCATGTCCTGATCCCTAGCCTATACGTCATTAAGCTTCTTTTCATTATCTTATTCACATAGCCGGCAAGCTAAATTGAGACAAAATATACTATATTGTTTATAAATAATATTTGAATCGTGTACAAAATCGCTAGCCTTCCACCTCAGTCTTAGTATATTATCTTTTATGAATGGTGACATATGGAAAGGGATGGTCAGTTCCATTGACGAGAAGAAAATGAATAAACAACTTCCCTACTTCCTAGTTGAGACTTTCTGCCCAAAGCTCAACCAAATTAAATTCGTTGCCCTAAATGCTAATTTTTAAAATCCCATTAGCTATCTTGAACATTCACTTTGTAGGGCAGGAAAAGTAAGCAATGTAGTGAAGAATTTGCAAGATCAGCTCTCCTTACCGGAGCTAGAGTCTCCTATCATTTTTTTCTTTTTTATAACTAAAACTGCTAGGTACTGTGATCGATCATTTAAGCTCCGCAATGGAATATCAATTGAAGAATTACCATTGCTCCAATCTTTTGCAGATGATCCATCGTAATCGGGAACTGTGACACGACCGCACACATCAACGCCATCGAAATCTCCCAATAACTACTTCCAAGCCTCCGCCCCCCAAATCCATTTCATGCAAGGCAACCTCATCAAACACCCCCCTCGAGCCATAGCTTCGAACTTAAATAAACAGAGCGCAGTGAAGATCTGTTCTTCTTTTTTCACAGACGATTCGAGACTTTGGGATTGGAAGAGTGGAGAAACATTGTGTGAAAATGATTCAACAAGTTTTCGCGGGAAAAAACTACCGCGATCGCAGAAGTTCGTGACAAAATGGGAACACTCTTTTAAAACGGAGTTTTGAGTGTGACGGTCGCTTTATTAGCGCCAATGCACCCTTCTGGCCCACTATCTGGTTTGACTGGTCAACGATATCGGCTCACCGAGGGATGTTGGTTCTTCGGGCCTTGGCCGATTCATATTTGGGCCTCTCCATTTTCATCGATCAAATTATATATTAAAAAATAATAATAAAGTCACCATGTTTTTTTAAGTATTTTATTTTAGGTTTAAGTTAAAATTTTAATTTATGATTTTTTACGTTTAGATTAATTACCTAGTTGGCTATGAATTTTCATGTCTCATATTGGATTTTTTATGTCATTTAATTTTTAATTTTTGCGTCTAAAAACTCTATAATATTTAAACATTTCAGAAATTAATTTAATTAGTAATTAAAATTATAAAGTAAAAAAATTAATTAATTTTAATCACATGGTCAATGTTGATTCGACAGCATAAAAGCATGACATATTGAATATAAAAAAGTTGATGACATAAAACGTTGTTTGATTAGACCTTACTAGACTCAAAATTTCCTTTCTTTTATTCATGACTATTGTTCGTGTTAGTTGAATAATAATAATAATAATAAAGTAAAAGTTTATTTCATAATTGTTTATTGTTAATTAAATGTCATGTCACATTAAAAATAATATTAATTGTCACTGTACTATGTAATTGATGATGTGTTCAAGGTAAGTAGATATTCATAAGTAAGTTTTTCTCAATAATAAAAAAATACGTGATTATAATTAATTAATTTCATGCATTTATATAATTTACTCTTCACTTGTTTGACTAATAAATAACGTTAAATTCATTAATTTTTCATAAAAATGCAAACTATTACACAATTATTAATTAAAATGTAAATTATCGCTCAAATTATAATTGAATTGATTAAGATATAGATTGATGTCGCCTAAAAATATATTATTATTAGTAAATTAAAATTTGTTGACAAGTTTAAAAAATATATATTACCAAATTAAAAATAAAATATTAAAAAGTTTATAAAATTGAAAGCAAGAACCGGAAAGAGTAAATAAGTAGTAAATTAATGATGTGTTTGTCGCCGAGGGAAGACGCCAACGCCGACCAGCAGCTCATGGTGCATCACGTGTCGCAGCGGGCTTGAAAAGTCAAACACGGCCTACTTTATTTTCCTTTTTCTAATTGCGTGGCTCTTGGTAGAGAAAACGCGGAGTGTCGACATAAATAATTTCCCACTCCAGCCATTGCCATGTGCCAAGAGCCAATTGGTCTGTCACTCTGCTTACTTCACCACGCATTCCCGGTTGGGCTCCCTTTTTTTATAAACTTTTTTAAACTCCATTATTATTTTAATATTCACTTTATCTCTAAGAATTTGCCAGCTCTAATTTTATTTATTTTTTCATTTTTTTTAAAGCGCATTGTGAATGTTCCACGTGATGATTAATTTAATTTCATTTAATTTCAAATTTTCCCTGCCAATTGTAGTATTCGTTAGGTGTGAATTAGAACTTTGTCGTTTTAATGCTCCAGCTTTAATTCATCCTTCCCTCCCCAGTTCCTAATCCACTTACATTTAGAATACTAATAAACTAAATAAATAAAACAATGGATCCGAGATAACCGTTCAACCTCGTTGTTAATAAATATTCTACTTTTTATTTAATATTTTATTGCGTAGTTTTCACGTCCTTATAATAAATGTTTTACTTTCTCTCTGATCGATGTGAAATTTCACAGTCTACTCCCTTTGAGCCCACAGTCCTTATTGGCACACCGTCCCGTGCCTGTCTCTGATACCATTTATAACAGCAAAAATCACTGCTAGCAGATATTGTTCTTTTTTGGCTTTTCGTTCAAGTGTAATAGTCTCAAGCCCATCGATAGTAGACATTGTCATATTTGGGCTTATCCTTTCATACTTCCCTCAAGGTTTTAAAAACGCCACGTGAGATATTTGTTCCCTTTTCTAACCAATGTGTAATTTCACATCAAGGATTTCCCCTCAAAGTTTATTAAGAAGAAATTTCTACACGCTTATAATGAATGCTCTATTTTTCTCTTTAAGATATTAATCTTACAGTTGGTTTATAAGATCTATTGCATATTAAATAAAGTTAATTGAGACGTTTTTCCTTAATTATAGTATTCAGTATATCTTTATTTTATTTATTTATTTATTATTTTTTCACAATGATAGAGTAAGCGAGTATAAAATCAAATGTATTATAGCTTAAATTATTTAGATTTTAAAAAAATAATAATTGACTTCCCAATTCAAATAATCGCCATTACATTGGATGCATATTTAAGACTATGAATAATATATATATATTTCTAATAATTGACTTCCCCAACTATAAGTTTACCATTATTATTTCACATGGGTTAATTTATGGTTTTTATAAATATTAAATATTCTAAAAAAAATTACACGCGTTATTTTAACTAGACTTACTTCGCAAACATCCTTTATTAATTAGACTATGAAAATTATACTCATAAACACAATGTCAAATTTTCAAACACATGGTCCATCTCTCCTTTTAAAAGGAAACATAAACAACAAAGATCCTGATTATAAATACAATATCTCCTTTTTTATTTGTGCCCAACAATCAGATAAAATTTATTAAAGAGTTCAATGTTTTCAAGTAATAGATGAGCATTTAATCATAATAAATTTAGGACTCTCCGAACATTAAACACTTTTCGCATTATTAATATACAATAAACGAAGGGTAGTTTATATTTATGTAGTTCATACCATTTTTTTCTTGGACAATATTATATATAAATTTACAATAATCAATATTATATAATAGATATGAAATAAAATGTGTGAGTTCTTTGAACTTTCGTAAATAAAAAAGAAAAAGAAAAAAAAAAAAAAAGAAAGTAGCGTGCGGCATGCATGAATGAGGTATAAATCCAAAGGAAAGAACCCCCACCCACTTTTGGTAGGAATATTTGTTACCGTTATCTTCGCCGTTTATGGATGGGAAGGCGCGAGGGCTAATTTAAAAAAAATAAAATAAATAAATAAAGAAAAAGAGAAAGGAAAAGGAAAAGGAAAAGAATCTGGAGTGCGGTGTTTTATTTAGTTCGCACACGGCTTTTCAAAGTTTCAGACTCCGCCTTAAATAAAAAAAAAAAAAAAAAAAAA